ATTTATATCATCTAGAGATGCCAAAACCGTAAAAAAATTCTAGACCTGATATACACTTTAAGTTTCAAAGTTCATGCTGTCGAATGATTGACATGTAAATTGAAATTTTCATTACCAAACTTCAACGATTACRACAAAAATTAATCTTTAACGAAAGCCATTATTGTCCCGTGGGATCTTTTGTTCGAGACACAGTGGCATCAATTGGTTTCTAACAAAAATCGTAAATCGAAAAGTCCAACTTTAATATAGCTCATGCTTTGTGAATGCCGCTGACAAATGCGATTCTTTCGCTTTGCAACTGTTAAACAAAGAAATGATACTCTAGGGAATGATATGAGGTCTGAATCGGGAAAAAATACACTAAAGGTCTATTCACTCAAGGTGGGCCCAGCAAGTGGAGATCAGTAAAGAAAAGAAGGAAGGCTACCAGGTGATCTCGCCTCGAAGCGCGCAAAGGAACAAAGCGAACAGTTCAAAATGGGTGCTGCTGACTAATTAAGACAACGCCGATTTCGCTTACTTTTATTGTATTTATGCTTTGTTTTCATTAATATTTATTGCTGATAGGACAAGAGGAAGCTTTTCTGGTACATGTAAAGTTATATTTCAGGACGTATTTTAAAAAGGTTAACTCGAAATACGACTCCATTTTGAAATTCATCATGGATCTTTTGGCGATGCAACAAAAATGCTTCTGATTGGTTAATAGTAACCGGAAGTGCGTGAGCGAGATCAAGTGGTACTGAAGATGGACCTTGAGAAAGTCCAAGAAAAACTGAAAAACTGACTAGGCTTTCGTGACATTACGCCATGCGCCACCTTAACCCGACAAGTATATATACTTATATATATATATATAACGTCCCACTCAGTTGCTAGGAGACTAGACAATAATCAAAGCACTGAGTTTTTTGCTAAGACACCATGAGTTCCCTTCGACTAGAGGAAAGCAGGCTACCATTTAAATGAAATTTGAAATTGATATATGCATACACACTAACAGTTTCAAAATGACCGACTATTTCAACACAAATCAATTTTAATTCCTTGGCTAGACATGCCAGGTCCACAAGGGACTAAGTAATAAGATTTCTCCAAATGGATATATTCCTAGAAAATCCTAAAGCAATAAGATAGCATTATTTTAAGCCTTAGACCTGCGCGCGCAAGGATTTTCTTTTTTACTTAACCCGCTGTAGTTAACCAACGATGACAGAAGAGAATAGAATCAATTTAGAACAAATACTGACAAAAAATCCTAACAGTTCAAAATGGGTGCTGCTGACTAATTAAGACAACGCCGATTTCGCTTACTTTTATTGTATTTATACTTTGTTTGCATTAATATTTATTGCTGATAGGGCAAGAGGAAGCTTTAATGGTACATGTAACATAAGTTATATTTCAGGACGTATTTTAAAAAGGTTAACTCGAAATACGACTCCATTTTGAAATTCATCACATAGAACTTTTGGCGATGCAACAAAAAAGCTTCTGATTGGTTAATAGTAACCGGAAGTGCGTGAGCGATAAAATTCGATAAGTTTTTTAAGAACCTTCGAAGCGCAGGAGAAAACGATAGCTAATATTTATTATTATTTAGTATGGGATCGCATGGAAGAATTGTCCAGTCAAAATAATAAGCAGTAGAAGGACGACTTAAGACAAAGACATATTTTTATTTGGGGTTTTGCACAAGGGGCTTTCATTTATAAGCGCGTGGAGGGGAGGGGGACTATGAGGAGGTTGAGAACTATTGTACGGTGATGAAGAGAGGTTATCCAATACGCTTATAAATGAAAGCCCCCTTATCGCTAATCACAATCATCTATCATGGCATCGCACAAAACATTAATCTAATCTAATCAATCGGATAACTTAACCAAGTGATCAATACATGGAGCATTATTCGAATGTATATTATCGTCTACACAGGAGACCACCGCATTGTTTATTGCTGAATATATACTGGTATCTGTAACGGTTCGTAGTAAGTTGTTTTCGTTAGGTATAAATCCCTAACTTGAATTATCTTTTCTACGTACGCCAGAACGACAAATAAATATTCAGTGAAAACTAGTTTCGTTTATTTCAACCTCTTCAGTCCACTGTGACTGTAGCTGTGAAGGCCGGYTTAGACGGTACGATTTTTCCCCTACAACTATCGTATACAACACGCTCGCGTCTGTCGTAGGCGAGTTGTAGGCTTGATTTACACGCTATACGATAGTTGTAGGCGAAAATCGTACCGTCTAAACCGGCCTTAACTGTATCTGTAACTGTAACTGTAACTGTAACTGTAACTGTAACTGTAACTGTAACTGTTCGGTTTCCTGTTTATCAGGCAGGAGAAATCCACCTGTCTTCAAGCTCTGTAGCTTTATCAGTAAATAAGTTATATTATCTTCAACCAAGACACGTACAAATACCAAGATTTTTATCGTTTGACGCAAACTACTTTCATCAACGGCAAACAAAAGCCAAAATATTCAACTTCACAAAGTTAACGACTCATCAAGTCTAAAATTATCGCGCTAATCAATTATTTAAAGGCAAGGGTCATTTTTTACACCTTGATAGCTAGATGGAGCCTAAACACTTGATCTAGGTCTATATTAAACAATGATGACGTTAATCAGTTATCAATTATTCCCTCAGTAATGTCGTACTTCCGTTCCTAGAATACACCCCCATGAAGATCATAATTGATAAGGTGATGAGTGTTTTGGATGTTTACTGGAGATATATTATAAGCATGCCATGCGGCACGGCTGGCTACAGAAGGACAGCATGAATAGAAAGAATCTGGTGCTTAAGAGACATAATTAAGATTCGTACTCGAGGTTCTAGGCTTGCCATAAATTTTCAAATTACTTTATATATCGTTTTTTTTTTTGTTTTTTTTTCTTTTTTTCTTTTTTTCGTTTTCACTGCTTAGTGTTTTTGTTTCCGGGCCCTTATCTATTTCCCTCTTCTTTTTTTCGATTTCTATTCCTCATTTTTCTTCTTTAATTCATTCATTTATYGTTTCTTTCTTACTCTCTCTCTCTCGTTCTTTGGTGCTTGAGAGACAATAATTAAGATTCGGTGTACTTGAGTTTTTCTAGGTTTTTCATTTATTTTCAAATCGTTTTCTTTTTGGTGGTATCATCTTCGCTTCTTCGATTCCTTCCTTTTTTCTATTTATGTTTTTACTTGTATCACTTTATATATATTTTTACTTGTTTTTGTTTGTTTGTTTTTTCGTTTTCGTTGCTTA